TTAAATTATTTTGTTCATTTTTAATGAAGTTACAACTGCTTGAATCTTGAAGTTCATAACGTTACGAACTTTTATTCTAGATTAGTTTAAATACTGTTTTAATAAATAAATAATTAATTATAATTTTTATTATAAATATAATATTCTATGTATTATTACCTGATATCAGCATTTAATTATTTATGATAAAAGGTAGATGTCATCCTGTAGTCAGATGTCTTACGTTCTACAGCAACGCTCCTGTTATCTTGAATTCACTCATTGTACTGCGCTGCTCACGTACTGTCTGTTCACAATTAATATTCTCTTATCAGAATACTATGCTATCTATTACAATACGAAGAAAGTAAGAAAAAAATACATACAACTATAAGACATTTATTCAACTTATTCTTCATCTTCTTCCAATTCTTCTTCTAACTCTTCATTTTCTCCTAATTTTTAGAACTAGAAAAAGATAAAGAATAAGTTGGGATAAAGATTAAGTTAATATTATTATGTTGTGAGTATTGCGAAAGGAAAGTGGTACCGGAAACCAGGTCCGCGCGCGCTGGTGATGTCGGAATTATACGCGAACAATCACGAGGAATCAGAAGGTGTCGAAAAGCATAGAGAATTAGAGCGATGTACAATAAGATGTGCTGCTGAGCTTTATTCGAAGTCAACTGAGCTTGATCGTTAAGCGATACGTATGTATGTACATACACACACGTATCGAGAAATATCCTTCGCTTCGCGAGAACAAAGGAAAGGTTGCGAATGTATACATCGTGTGACACGAAGTAAACAGCTGATCGGTAGAACACTATCATGAATTCTGACAGTGTCGGTACCGGTAACAAGCGCGGTTTGCACTGAATAATTGTCGACGGAAATAATCGTTGAAAGTAAATCGATAACAAGCACACATGTTTGATAATATGAGTTGTATGAGTCTGAATATAATATGCCGATGTAAAATAATTCGCGTAATGAACATTTACTGAGTTTAGTCTAAACATATTACATTAGTGGAAACGGGAATAATAAGACGTATAATTCATCTCTAATCTTTTTCTCCATATGTTAAACGACAAGAGATTGTAGATAATTCTACTAAAATAGTAACAAATGTAAGCATTTCGTTAACATGATTATTGTTGTTGTCTGACACATGAAAAAAGACGAATTAATAATTATTAATTGTCAATACGTGGTCAAATTTTTAAAAACAATTAAAATAAAGGGCATTTACCACGAGCGCTCGATGTCTAATGGCGAATCTTCTTCTGAAGTCAATACTTAAAAATACATTCAATTATAATTTCTAACATAATCATCAACTATGCATAGACGTTTCGACCTCATCGGGCCATCATCAGTATATAACTAAATTAACATACAATCTTATTACAATTAAATGTCGAGTATCTTCTTTTCTTTACATGTTCATATAATCCGTTGTTCTTTTTTTTCCTTTTCACATACAATTTTTCATGTTAACCGATGTTATCTAATTGTTGTACTTGCACACATAATTTCCAGATTCTAATAATAATTAATGTTAATTAATCATTACATATTTTAACTTATCTTATTCTAATTTTCATACCTGTGTATAAGTAGAACTTAGAGTATCTCATCTATTCATCATATATATCATTTTTCTATTGAATGGTTTTCCTTTAGACATTATTTTCTCTACAATCAACAATAGAATAAAAAGACTATCCATTAGAAAAGATATATATAAAAACAACACTAACATGGAATGTAATGATCTCAATAGAAAGAATTACTTTACTATTCCATTTGTAAATAAAAATTCTGAAAAATTTAATAATATAGCTTCAAAAAATAATTTCAAAGTTTCATACAAACCTATGAACACTCTAAATAGATTCATAAAATCAGGTAAAGACAAATTAGATAAAATGGATCAATGCGATATTGTGTACAGAATAAACTGCCTTGATTGCAATGCCTCGTATGTCGGACAAACAAAAAGAAAAGCAGAAACTAGAATCAAAGAACACAAATCAAATATAAAAAAATCTAAAGATGCGCTCACAGTAATATCCCAACATCAAATTAATAACGAACATAAAATAAATTGGGATAACATTCAAATATTTGACATAGAACCTTATTTCCAAAAAAGATTGACGTCAGAAATGATTTACATAAAAAAACAAATTAATGGGATAAATAAGCAAAGCGACACCGAAAAATTACCAGAGGCTTACTTTCCGTTGCTCAGTATACTTCCCCCTTCCTAACACCAATTTTACCCTCTCCTTCACAAATTAAGTATTATAAGCAGTGTATCATGACAAATATCAGAGAGTACACAAAGAAAATTGGAAACAGTAACATGTCACCCACTGATGAGATCAAATACTCAAGTTCTACTTATACACAGGTATAAAAATTAGAATAAGATAAGTTAAAATATGTAATGATTAATTAACATTAATTATTATTAGAATCTGGAAATTATGTGTGCAAGTACAACAATTAGATAACATCGGTTAACATGAAAAATTGTATGTGAAAAGGAAAAAAAAGAACAACGGATTATATGAACATGTAAAGAAAAGAAGATACTCGACATTTAATTGTAATAAGATTGTATGTTAATTTAGTTATATACTGATGATGGCCCGATGAGGTCGAAACGTCTATGCATAGTTGATGATTATGTTAGAAATTATAATTGAATGTATTTTTAAGTATTGACTTCGGAAGAAGATTCGCCATTAGACATCGAGCGCTCGTGGTAGATGCCCTTTATTTTAATTGTTTTTAATTAATAATTAATTAGGAATAATGAATTCAATATGTAATACAAAATTTTTCTGAGAATTATTTTGTCAGTTTAACTTTAATTATATTAAGCCAATTATTTGTACTAATACGGATAAAATTATCTGTATTTTTGGACAGAATTATCAATCTCTTCCCAGTGAACACAAAGTTACATATAACTTACCTGTTAGTTGTAATTTCCCACTCAACAATATAACCGTAATACAACACGTGTATTATGTTACAGTTATATTGTTGAGTAGAAAATTACAACTAACAGGTAAGTTACGTGTAACTTGTATTCACTGGATTATTGTTGTTTAACATATAAATATTATAAATAAGAAAAAAAAAGATTAGAGATGAGGAATTAACCCTAATAGCACAGATATTGAATGATTCTGTACTTATACTATTATCATACGTACCGTTACACACATACCGATAACGTTTGTATAACAATCTGTGTATTTATCATTTGTTATTTATTCTTAAGCTCACTCAGAATACGAATTTCACGTTTATTCTCCAAAACAAACTTAGTTCAAAAAAACTGAATCATAAGCAAATGTAAAAACGCCATCTATATATTCTTAGTGCTCTACCATGGTATAAAGATAAGGGTAGCGCGCATGCTATACACATGCGACCAATCAAAATTGTCAGAGTGTGACGTCACAGATAAGCGGCAAATTAAAAACTGCTGTTTTTAAATAGTTTATATTAGCAGTATGCTCGTCTCAGATATATCATTTTGATTTCAAGTTTATAGGAAAAATCTGTTTTAAAACAATATATTTTATAAACTAATAAAAATATCCTATAACTTAACTAATAAATATCTTGTACCTTTCTTTCGATGGCATTAATATGAAGCATGATGCATCGAAGTGTTGGGAACATATCATAGCTGAATACGAACAAAATTATATATATAGTTTAGTTCATTACATTTATACATTTACAAGAAATAGAAAATCTTACTTTTTTTTATATTAACGTTTTGTTTTCCGCATGCTGCAACCCATTTTAGCTGCGTAAAATCTTTCGAAAACGAAAAATATTTTATACTGTTCCCGTTAAGCAATTTTGTTTTTCGAAAATAATAATTGCCACAATCTTTCACGGAGCAAGACATTGCATATATAATATCCACAAAGAGGAAAAAAGACTCAATTATGCGTTTTTAGTGAAATCACGTTTCTCCGGATACAAACATTAAGGGTGAAATCACACGGTGCGGAAGAAGATTGCGGAATAGTGAATACGTCATTGAAGCAACCAATCAACGCTATTCCGACGCTATTCCAATCAACGCTATTCCAAGGGCCATGTTTAATCGTCGAACCATTTGGAAGATCTGGGCTGCAGTCCACTTGACGCTACAAACGCTTCGAAGCGTTTGAGCAACCAATCAGAACAAAGAATTTTACGAATTGACTAATCAAAGAATGCTTTGAAGCGTTTGTAGCGTCAAGTAGACCGCAGCCTATAGCGCTAAAATAGTCTAAAGTAGCTCAAAATTATTTATACTAAGCTGTATTATATATTAGCCCGTTAAGCATGTGAAATTTAAATATTACAAACTTATAATTAAAGTCATCATTAGCTAACATTTGGAGTATCATCACCTCAAATGTTAGCTAATGATGACTTTAATTATAAGTTTGCAATATTCAAATTTCGTGCTTAATGGGCATATATATATACATATATATATAATACAGCTTAATATAAGGCTGTGTTCCAAATTTACTGTCAGCACTGAAAATGCGACAGTTTACGTTACGTGCACTATAGATTTTCAGTACAGGCAGTCAATTTTGGAACATAGCCTAAATCATCACACCAAGATGATACTTGAAATTGCGACAAAATCGCTAAATTGGCAACTGTGTAATAAATTCTAGGTAACGTACGTATCAAAAGGTGGCCATCAGCTATGTGGTATGTGTATTTAGTGCGCACTTCTCATGATCGTATGGCCCGCGCCAATCGGCCAATTGCGATTATGGCCATTATGGCGCTCGCCAGATGAGAGGGGCAGTTTTACGCTGAGAACGAGTCGTTTGTGGCGGACAACGTTCAACGATTTTCGCGAGGTAAGGCACGACGGACGCGGAGCCCTCGGTCTCTCTACCTCTCACAGGCGTGTTGACGCCTCGGCATCTCTGAATCTGTGTTATTGAGCTGTCCACCGCGAATTGTCGCGGGGACGCAACGGCTGTCCTTTTCCTCCAGCCATACCTGAGTACAATAATAGATTTGGCTGGAACCTGCACAGAGCCTGATTAAATAAATAGTATTGTCTCCCTCTGTATCTCTTGGACTGGCGCCCCACCTCCCTTACGTCGCGAGGTCGCGACGTAGATCTCCCTAAGTTTTAGATCTCTTTCGAATCGACCAGAAGAAGATCACCTTTCACCCTGCAAATTCGTGGCTTTTATAACCTTTTACCTTGTACGACGAGAGAATCGAATCGTTACGTGCCTGATTAATGTTTAATCTTCTAGAGCTGACGGTAGGTCTATTGGGCCCATTTAATTATAAATCTCTACCATAAATGTCAATTCAATTTTTTTTATATTACATCTGTAAATTATTGGATTATTTCTATTAAAATATACTTAGTATTGATTCTTTTTTATTTTGGTTCTTTGAAATTAACGAGTGGTTTTTAATTAATAGCGAATTCAATTGGACGCACTCAGTATGTACTATCGGTGCTTATTGGAACTGTATACAAATTGACGTAAAAATATGTATTTAATATAAATTTAGAAACAGTTTATATCTCGAACTCCTCAATATATAATGTGCTGTTAGATAAAATATATATGTATTTATAATTCGAAATATTTGCATTTCACTTTTACATTTAGATTAAATTAGTGTATCCATGACTTTAATCAGTATGCATTAATGCATTCAATCAAATTTGCTATTACATAAATTAAATGGGTCTTACAGGTTCAATGTCAATAACTAGACACAAGTTTTTTAATCCATCGATTGATTAATTGCTTTATACACAAATGCAACTTTGCTCCATAAAAGCTGCATTTGCACATAATGTGAGCATGATAAGTTAAAAAACTTGCCTTCTGTTATAGACTTTAACATTAGCTCTGGAGAGTTAATACCATTAGATTAAATGCGCATGAATGAATACAGATATGAACTTGTGTATTATGTAACAAAATATTTACTGCAATGTTCTAATCCTCTGTGAAAGAATAATTTTGTACAAATCATGAAGATTTCATGTCTTTTAAGTTCATATATTTTGTTTGCTTAGATTTTCCTGCAAACTGGTGCTGTATTTTCTTTCTTATGCAGTCATTGAGACTTAATTCTGGTAATTTTTCCTTTTATAAAAAGTAATGTTTCAATATGGTGATCCTTTTTTTTTCTTACAGCAGCCAGAGACATGGAAGGTCAACAGTTCTGTTTGCGGTGGCATAATTTTCAAAATACTCTCTTGAGCTCGTTGCCAAAGTTGCTCGATGGTGGTTACCTGACAGATGTTACGCTCAGTGCCGGCGGTAGACATATTCATGCTCACAGAATTATACTCTCGGCTTGTAGTTATTACTTTAAAGAACTCTTTAAGGTATTTATACATATATAAAAGTGTCTCAATTGTGTTATGCAAACCATGAAGATTTTATGTCTTTTAAATCTAAATATTTTGTTTGCTTTGTATTTTGCTGCCAACTGGTGTTTGTTTCTTTCTTAGACTTAATCTCGATAATCTTTCCTTTTATGAAACGCTTTGAATAACATCGATCTATTAATGACATAATAAATATACGAATTTTTTTACATTTTTTTAATCAGCTCTATTCTAATCATAATATTGTATATTTATAATTATATATTAATAGTTTCTTTTTTTATAAGTAATAACATCTAATACCTACAAGAATAGAACTATTTTGGATAGTCAATTTGATTGCTTGAATAAGCTAAATAATGGATTTCTAAATTAATTCAAACTGTGAGTTAATATTGTGTCGCTTATGTATGCTATTAAATATGTAGCTTGAACTTGGACTAACAGTAAGATAAGAATTCTATGAAAAAATTTTTAGGACTTAAGCGCCTTGCAACATCCGGTCATTGTGCTGCCAGGCATGGAATATGCAAATTTGTGTGCTCTGGTCAAGTTTATGTATAATGGAGAAGTGAATATTTATCAAGAACAGTTACCTGCACTTTTAGCTATGGCTGATACATTGCACATTTGTGGATTAGCTGACATGGCTGGGGTAAGTGTTTTTTTTTGTGGTTAAACGATATTAAAAAGATGTACGGTCTATTTTGAAGAATATTAGGAAAGCTTGTATTGTTTTAAAAAAAATTATGCTATTCTCTGCATTTATATTGTATTTTCTGAATGTATTGTACATTTTCATTTTTAGCTTGTACTTTATTTTTTATATCGACACTTTTGGCGTCATATAAAATATATAGTTCGTAAAATTATTGTACATCGAGTTTTTCATTTTAATATAACGAAAAGTAATGATATATAAAATAATAATAAAATATTTAATTTGTTCATTTTAGGTGTGTATTACATACTAATTTTATTTTTTTTATTAATTAATTTCTAATTACAATAATTATTTGTATCTGAGACATAAATTATGAAAATATAATTTCCATTATTACTGTTAAATTTCAAAGTCAGATCGAGTGTAAGCTTGCTAATTGTGGATAAGAAATAAATATAATAATGAGAGAGTTAAATATATATAACAATTTTACTATAATATATTCAGAAATAAGACTGCCATTTTTTTGTTATTAAATTAATAGCGTGTTTTTTTTAGTACTTAAGGTAATTAGCATGAATAATACTTAATCTTTTTAATACGCTTGTTCTTAAACGAAAATTTTTAATTGCTTATAACAAAGCATGGGTTTCTTAAACGCCGTTATACAGGAATATAACTCCTCTCTTCTAACAGTTCTTACTATTTCTTACGAATATATACTAAATATTTTTTTATCTTTCACACAAATATGATGTAAATTTGCACAAAATAACTATATTGTTGATACGCTCAACAATATAGCCAGCATATAATATATAGTTATACAAAACTTATGCAACATTTTCTATTAATAAGTTGCACCATTTTAAATCACAATGCATTTTCCTTTCACATTTTTTCTCCTTTTTTTCATTAACATTGATATACAACTGTTTATGCATTGTAATATTTGATTAATAGTATCTGTATACTCGATATAGGTCATAAATAATATTGCTTCTTACAATTAATAGAATATGTCAGTATATTATTTTTCAATTTTTTTTTTAAACTGTAACACGTTGCATATTAAAGATATTATATCTATGATCTAATATTTATATGCGATAGCAGTAAGTGTTGTAAGCATTTGTTAGAGTTGTAAGCAAATTTATTATTAAATAGAATTTGTTTTATCTGTAAATCATGATAAATTCAATTTGCACATACCACAGCTCATTGTACATATTATTGTAAACGCTGTCCTTGGAACATTTATGTTCAATACCAATATACTTAAAAAGAGTGCAGAATTGCCACAATATATTTTTACAAAAAGGTCGCAGATAATTAATTTCTTTCGTACTTCAACAGAACGGAGAACGAAGCAAAATTCGCGTTCGCTTGTTCCTCACTTAATGTTTTTATATTATCCTGATCGTGTTGTTTTGTTCAGGTTACTTAAACACATTCACTGTCGTTCCTCAAGAAGTACTTCACGAAGGAATTATACTGCTACATATTATGTTCGTACATGCATCGAAGGAACGATAATGAATAAAAACGATATCCACGAGATCAAGATCGTTGTGTGTGTTGCAACTAAATGCAAGTGGATGCATCCCATGGAACCTTACCCCATAGAATGACTTTACAGGTATATCTAAAATAGCTTCTTCCATGAATCTCTAAATTACTAAAACTATATATTACCGAAGTTAGAACAGCGATTTCATACAACACTTATATTTCTTTCGCAGTACAATAATGCTTAACAGTTTAGTCAAGTGTGATGATAACAAACGTTTAGCACTAATTTCTTGATTCTAAAGATTATATTAACTAAATATTAGCTAAAAGAAAAAAAAAGAAAATGCATGGAAACCTACAGACAAAATAATTTTCGAAAATAATTTTCAGATATAGTCAACGATTTTATGTGCTAAACTGTTAGAATTCAATGGTAACTCTTGACTAAATAGTTTTTTTTTTAATAAAAAATTAGATATTTTATTAGGCATACTTAATATTGTTTAACAAATGTATATTTCTAGAATATAAACCAAAAAAACAATGTTTAAAAAATTATCATGCTAAATATCCTTAAGTAATATGTTCTAATATTGATTTTAAGTAAATACGAATAAATTGCACATAATAGATAATTAATGTGCAATGCATAACCTGTTGTATAATATACAGGGTGTCTTATTTTAAATAATGCATTAAGATTTCTCGAAAACTATGGTAGATACGGAAAAATGTTTCAAACAAAAGTTGTATGGGGGTTCGGAGGGGGACATAAGAATGTACCATTGATTTGACCTTGAATGGCGTCGCCAAAGCGAAGTCAAGGTTATGTCGATTTTTTTTTTTAAATGGAACCCCCTATTTTTCATTATATTTTCTTGTAGCTTACCTCGAGAGCTTTTCAAAATACTATAATGAAATATTTTTTATGAAGTATTTTTCAAGTTGTAAGGCTCGAAAGTTACAGTACAGTCGGCATTAGCATTACACAGGTTGTCCGACCGATGGCTAAAATCTCTTGAATGTTGTTCAGGATCATGTCCTAGATAACATTTGTCAAGATCAATGCCATTGGAGATTATTCCTCTTATTTTTACATCCTTTTTATTTTTGCACTAAAAATTCATTTTTACATAAAAATGAACATAAGAGGTATAACCTCAAATGGCCTTGATCTTGACAAATGTTATCCAGGACATGATCCTGAACAACATTCAAGAGATTTTAGCCGTCGGTCGGACAATTAATGCTGGCTATACTGTAACTTTCGAACCGTATAACTCGAAAAATATTTAATGAAAAAATATTTTATTATAGTATTTTGAAAAGTTCTCGAGGTAAGCTACAAGAAAATCTAATGAAAAATAGGGGGTTTCATTTAAAAAATCGACGTGACCTTGACCTGGTTTTGGCAACGCCACCCAAGGATAAATCAATGATATCTTCTTATATTCTCCTACAACTTTTGTTTGAAATATTTTTCCGTATCTACCATAGTTTTCAAGAAATCTTAATGCATTATTTAAAATGGGACACCCCGTATATAAAAAATATACTTTATTTTTTTAATTTTAAAAGATATGTTTACCGTTGTATGTCATCAATATTTATATTTGCAAAAGTTAAAAAATACGTTTGTTGCGATTATTAATTATTGAAAGCAATTTGTATTCTTGTATAAATCTTTATAATAGTTATTTAATATTATTGTATTGTAACTTAACATACTTTTAATATAAATGCATAAAAGCATATGACGCCGCATAGTTAATACACCTTTAAATTATATTTTTTTTGTTGTGTTTAATAGTGCAGTGTTTATAATGGAGAAATATGATAATTATTTAATGTAATTTACATGATTATGCATGCCTTCTTATTTCAGAAAAATTCGAGACAGGATAACGACGTGTATGTGCAGTCGCCAGTAATGCAACCTCAGGAAAGACTGAACGAAGAGATAGTAAAGACAGAGAAAGATAATGTAATAACTCCTGGATCGTCAGAATCTGTATCATTGCCTAAAATGGATACTTTAGAGGATGAGGAGCCTAACAATGACCAAGAAAGTATACCGTATTGCGTGAAGACGAAGCCCTATTACTCTATAAACGCGAAGTTAAACCAAAGGGAAAAAATGTCTATTCCTGTTAACGTATCTGCTAATAAATATATTGATAGAGGCTATTCGGAGAACATAGCGGACGAGACAGCGTCAGTCATGGAGGATCAAGTCACTACTCCTATAGAAGATGTAAAACCACCGCCAGCCGTGTGGGATGCAAGTTTCAAGTTGCTTGCGGCATCCACACCTAGTAGAACTTCTCAGAGTTACAACAAATCCAGTGTTACTTGTCTTATTTGTGGTAAACAATTAAGTAATCAATACAACTTGCGAGTACATATGGAGACGCACAGTAATAGCTCGTACAGTTGCACATCCTGTTCACATGTGTCGCGATCACGAGACGCTCTCAGGAAACATGTGTCCTATAGACACCCAGTAGCTTCTCCTCAAAAACGTCCACGATATAGTACTTCAAAACCATCAATAATGTGATGATAAAGTCACTATTGTGTTATTCTATATAGACATTTGAACCCTCGCTAGGATACCTTTCCTTCAAAATATATTTCTGTTAAAAATTAATTTTTTCGTTAAATTACAAAAAAAAGAAAGGGAAAAAATTGAAATAAAATTATTTTATTAATTAAAAAAAATTAAGCATTGTTTTAGATATGTTGGGTTAGAGAATAATTTAGAATGATTATCTATGCCTATTTATAATAGATGATAGACTATGAACATAATTGAATTCGTAAGAGCAGCACTGGACTGATTAATGATAAGACAAGTTGTAATAACATCTTCGTTTAAGGTGAGGTTCCACGGCCCATGGCTCGTCACAGTTCCGAAATTGATATAAAAAAGGGTAAAATCGCGGTCCCACGGCGCGTCACAGGAACAGTCTATCTCATTATTGCTCGCCATGGCTCGCGGCTCGTCAGCTCGCCAAACTGTCGGTAAATTACGCGAGTTAAAGAGCTTTTCAAAGCTTGCACCTTTGAACGAAATAATTAACTACTGTGCGTCGTTGCACCCAATTTCTCTATGCTTGCATGTAAATATGTGAGAACCTGTTTATTATTGCTAGTCGAGACACTAATTAAGTGACTTTTTGATCATTCAAATCGTAATATGGAGTAGGATGATGAAAAAATTGTCGAGTTTTTATAATTACATGAAAAAATGTATATGACATGACTTTGCAAGTATTGATCATATGTTCAACAGAATATTTATTTTATTTTTACTATTGCTACTGTTGAAAGTTTCCTTTTGCACTGATTTAATTATACAAGCGAAGAAAACTTTCAATATTTGCAAAATAAGCATTTTGCTGTACGCGATCATTGACGATCCAACAGCACAAGATGCCTTGTCGATTCGTCTGCTCGCAAAGACTTCTTTGACTCGCGAAACTTACGCCAATCTTCAAAAATGACGTGTCACGAGCTACGAACCGTGAGCGATAACGAATTATCCTGGTTCCACGGCGCGTAGAGACTTTCCAAGCTATAGCGAGAATTGCCGAGCCACGGGCCATGGGATCCCTTCAAGTGTACAAAGTGTGATCATGTTCCTGAAGACCTTTAGTGTTCGAATTGTTATCGCTTTCTTGTTATTGTTATATCGTTTTAATAAAGACAAGTTAGATAAGTCGTGTGACTTAATGAAAATGTAATATATATATATATATATATGCAAAAATAAAACTGCAGCAATGAAAAAGCTGTAGAATTTTAGTTATATGGGATGTGAATTATTCTACTAATAAAGTCGATACAAAAGGTGCAAAAGACATTGCAATATAATTTTTTAATCATATATCAAGAATTGTATTAAAAAATAATATACAATATTTTTTTTGTAGACTACGAAATAAATAAAATGCCTCCAAAACTGAGTTTCCTTAGAAGTGGCAATAAATTCTTCCAAAAGTTAATTATATCTTTTCTATACGCCATATTTTAGTATTGCAGTCCTGTCCGACGGAGATTAATGTTTCCTCATCCAACCAAACTAAGCGTGTTATCTGACTCTGAGGATGAGCATCTGAAATATAAATGCGCTTGTTAATTGCGATTCATTTATAAAAGGATATTTGCTATACTCACTTTTGATGATAGTATGTTTTGCTGGATGTGTCACACTCCAAATGATGATAGTAGTGTCAAGACTACCGCTTGCAACCATGTCAGAGTTTGGAGACCAAGCAACAGAGTTTACTCTTGCATTGTGAAAGCCCCATTCTCTATTATGTGCAAGCTGCAAATCAAATCAAAATAATTTAGATTTATATCCTAAAATTGACCTTTTCAAACTGTATTTGTATAACGGATATTTAGTTCCATTTATACTACTCACCCTCTGTTAATCCAATAAGCACATAACAAGCCATTAATAGCAATTAATTCATTAATACAAGCATGATTACTTTATGCTTAATTACTTTATGCATAGCAAATATTGCCCCAACGTTATAGTGCGTCACAATTAAATTTAGTGAATAAATGCTAGTATTTATCCATTAAATTTAGAGCTTTAGGCAGAATTTTCTGTTAAGTTTACTAACTCTTTATTACAATTATACATGTTGAATTATGGTATTAAAAAAGCAAAACTTTTTGAATTAAAAATTTTAAGTGTTATTATGCTATTCTTGCATTTCTAACATAGTATTACTGATAGCATGTAACAAATACTCGATCATGCAAGACTTATAACTACATTTTTAACTATGCATAATTGAATCTAAATAATTTAAATTATCCTTTATATAAAGTACTTTACCTTATATTCTGGTACAGTATACAGTATAACTTTTCTGTTTGCATCACAGGCAACTAAATATTTATTATCGGGACTATACGAGGCATCCGTAACTGGACCCAGGTGTTCTAGTTCAGTCTTTTGAGTTAATGTAGTGTCCGACAACTCGTAAATATAAACCTACATTGTACAAAGCTTGATAATAGCATATGAATCAATTTTTTACATTTTTCGTATACCATAAATAACAGACAAACTTTATTGTCAGATGTGGATCCAATAGCTACATCTCCGATTTCTTGATTAATTGACACGCATGATGGCTCATAATCGATTGATAAACTGGACAGCTTTTTACCATCTTGTGTAACTGCGATCTACAAAATACAGTATCGATGAGAACATCATTATTACGCAAAATTTATAAGTGCAAAATGTTTACAAAGATGCTTATAGTTTTTAAAAATATATTTAACAAGTTTTATAATAACATAAAAAAATTATCCTACGTTTTCAGCTAAGTTAATTTTAAGCTTGCTAAATATTTTATTAAATTTACAAAATAAATTTAAGAAATCAAAAAAATTATCTTTGTAGACATTCGACCTACCTGTCGAACCGAAGCCACCACAACTATATCGTTATATATATCCAACCCTCGTGGTTGCGAATCCAATTTTATCACACTGGTTTCTGCGTATGCATTCGTTGCAATATCAACTGACCTTAAAGTATCGTCAATGCCAGCGGTATAGAGCAAATTACCCGTAGCCTTCATCCCGTTAATTTGATTACCATGACCGTGCCCTTGTACACGTTCATTTTCACCTGTCTCCGCATTCCAATTAGTGATGTAGCCATCGTGAGAACCGGTATAAATCGTACTTCTATCAGGACTTAATGTTAGCACCGTTATTGGTTTGTTATGACCCTGACAAAATTGACAAAAAATATTGAATCAAAACTGATATAATGAAAAGAATATTAAGAACAGTTAAATTAGAACTTTGAAAGAGATTAATCAATAGGAACAGGAATTACTTTTATTATCTTTATAGGCTTCTCGGGATTGTCGACGTCAAGATAATTGATGAAGCCGCTAAGTGACACGGATAATAAATGTTTTCCTTGCCACAGACAACTCACCTGGAACACAGATTATTTTAATATTTTTTTAAATATTTACTTGCATACTGTGCCTTTCCATATATTTTTAAACTGATTTATAAGTTACGAACTTGTTGATCATCGACCGTCGTTCCCATGTTAAATTCCGTAATTAAAGAACGCGTTTCTACATCCCACAGTTTACAGGTTTTATCTCCGGAGGCGGTTAATAATTGCTTACTATCAGGCTTCCATGCAACCTGTAAATATAAATGTGTTGTTTAATTATATTTATTTTAAATAATTTGTCATATTCTTATGTCACATCACATTACATTAAACGAATTAAATTACATACCCCATAGACTCCACCTTGATGTGCAGGGGATCCTATTTCTCCAACAAAATCAGAGGTTGTTCCATTATACAAAAACACTTTCCCATCGAATCCACCAGAAGCAAACAGATTGCCGTCAGGAGAATAACGTACAGTTTGAACGAAACGAGTATGCTCTTGCTTTGTCATCCTATATAAATGACATGTAATGAATTACATAAAAAATTAAAATTTTCACTCTCAACAGAATATAGATTAAATTTTGCCTATATGTGTACATACTTGAATTTGAATGGAGGGCCTTCGAATATTCCGATAGTGTTATCTTCACTTCCAGTTATTAATCTAAATGGTCTAGCCGGTCTAAAATCGCATGAGTTGATAGATTTACTTTGACCAGAGATCTCACCCACCGACGTCCCTGTTTCTGCCATAAAGACATGCCCAAATCTAAACATAAATTATTAACATGTCAATATTACTTCTTTAATGATCTATTTTAATTCTTCAATAATATATCTTACTTCTTCTACGCATTCTAGTGAGCAAAATATACCTTTCTCTTCCTTCTCCGACCACGACCATGCGCTGACTATCCGGCGACCAAGCAATATCTTTGATAGGTCCGCCAATAGGATGGAATTCATTTTTTAATATATGCTCCTTGTTAACTGTGTCCCAAATACGTACTTTACCCGACTGATCTGAAATAAAATTATACTCTACATTAATTCCTTCATATATTAAAATTTAATGTAAGTTGAAAAATAATTCAGGTGCCATGAAACATCCTATGTATTATAAAGATCTCGATGAAAAAGTGATAATGCACAATAATCAAAGATTACGAATAATAAATATTATGCCCCATGTTATTACGGATGATAATTTCTATGTAAAGATGATGTACATATATATTCAAGTAATTAAAAATCCTGGTAAATTAAATATTATAGTTAAAATATCACGTACCTCCTGAAGCTATGTAAAAACCACTAGGAGAATATTTGGCAACGTTCACAGGGCAAGAATGTTCTGTATAAACATCTGCAATTGCTGGATTCTGCAATGTTCCGAGATATATAAATTAGTGCGTTATTAGTCTGTTATTATTAGTAAGCATTTATTGCAATATAGAAACTCACGTCAATATTTCTAATGATAACACTGTTACCATTGGTATATAAAAAATTCTTTCCTTTGGGATCGCCGCCTAATACAAGAGGTTGTCCTCTTTGAGTCCTCGGTAATGCAGCAAATATATATTCTGTAATGTAAAAAAGCAGAAACTATAAAATAAAGAAGCAAGAACATCTTCAAATAAATTAAAATTAAATATCCAAACCTGAACTTTAATTATTTATTTCACATCAGCATACATTGTAAATTTGCAATACTAAGATAAGCAGTAAAATATGATTTATGTATAAATTTTTTAAAAACTGTGTAACAGATGAATTTTTAAATATAATCATTTTAATGATAGACACATTATTTTATATTCCATATTATTTTTCATAAAAAATTATGCATAAAAATTATGTGTATATATCATTGCTCTACAATTGTTTATTTATATGATATACTATTCATAAATGAATTCATAATATTAAATAAAAATGACTTCAAATTTATCAGGAAAATATTGTCAAACGCGCAAAAGAGATCAAATATCACGCGAACAACGCATAATACATCCAGGTGCTGGAACCAAAATACTCTTCCTTGATACATTGGCATGAGTCCAGCTCCTAATATTTCAAATTATTTTGAGCGCTAACAAGCTATACAGTATATCCTGCATCATGGTATATAATTCCAGAAGTAATGTTGTTTAAAGAATTTTATGCGCGTATTAATAAAACAATTTACAAAAAAAGTTATTTTAAGTTATGCATATTATTTTGAATATAATAATAATAATAATAATTCTTTATCTCTCTCTTTCTCTCTTCTGCAAATGTTTTCCTTGATAAATACAAAAGATTTACGATTTACTATTAGATGACTTTTTGGTAGTATAAATACTATAAATATTTAATAATGATTACTATATAATTACTATAAAAAATTAATTGTTCTTTTTTGTTTTTTTTTAGTCTGATGAGAACACAATATATATAAAGTATATAAATCTTATCTAAAATCTTATCAAACTTTGATATTTGTGATTCGTCTTCCTTTTTCTAGCGTGACTATATACAGGGTGTATCAAAAGTCTTGACATATTTTTCTTTACTTTTTACGAATGTTCGATTAGAATCAAATCTTTCTTAACAATTCCTTAATTTTTAATATCAAATTTTTTAATAACGAAAAAATTAAAAAATGAAGACTCCAAAAACCATTCGAAATTAAACAATAATTTCATTATTCCTTTGCATTCAGGCACTAAGTACATTTAAATTTTCATTCCTTTCATCACGACGATAGACTCCGATCATGATATTCTCGCTAAACGGAACATCTACTCCAAATCACCTAGAAGGAATCTTTGGAGTAAGAACGCCAATAGCTTTTGAGCACCCTGTATACGCACATTGACATCAGCCGTGCGTCCGGCGTATCGTGTCACACACGACTGACACGGCACATGTGTGACAACGCTTCGAATTTGAGTGAAGCAAGAATCGAGCGAGATAATTCGTGATTTACGCGGTCAAACGCAAGAGATGTGTAAAATCGTAGAGGAGCCTTCTTTCGTCGTCTCGGTACGTCGCAACGCCTCGTGATCCGACCGGAGATAAGCAAACCGGAAAAACTGAGAGGAAGATATTTCATGTAGCAAAACGGTACAGTACAGTACAGTATACCGGTACATAAAAGCAAAGGTAACGCGTTCAGGTATCGCGACTTACTCGTTTCGTACGACATTCCGTCGGTGAACCCTGTGCCTCTGCACGCCCAACGATATCTAACTAGACCGAGCGAGAGAATCTGGTGTTTGACGTGAGGATGCGACGTCCACGACAGCCTACGTGTGATAGCTCCGCGACAGCACCCACCTTTCGCACACAACATACACACCACACACAACAGTCACATACACACACGCATACATGCATACAGAAATACGCACGCGCTGCATGCACGCACACTCACGTGCAAAATACTTGTTCCACCCTTCGCCTTATTTGGTTGAAACATGAACAAAGGTATTGCTAGACGCGCCTATAGCTGAAGCGTGCACGAGAGTCAGCAAGAGACACGTGGAGACATCTGTTGGAGACGAATTTCTGTTAAACCAAATTGCAGCTAAAATATTGAGAAAATCGCAATGCAAAACGGCTTTAATGGTTCCTGCACACTGGACGCGGAAACACTTGCCGCGCGGCAAGTCTGTATTACCGACTAAATCGTAATTTTTGTATAACATTTTTTTCCTCTTTCACAGATTTAAAAATCCTTTTCCAGGATTAAAGTATACACATTAATACGCGTTTGTGAAGTGGAGTTTATGCCGAGAACGACAAAAAATTTTTCTTAAGATTTCAATTTCGAAATTTTTTGTCATTTTCGGCATAAATTAGATCTCACAAACACGTATTAATGTGTATTCTTTAGTCCTGGAAAAGGATTTTCGAATCTGTGAAAGAGAAAAAAGTATTTGTTATACAAAAATTGTGATTTAGTCGGTAATACAGACGGAAAAAACGTAAAAACAGGAAAATTTAAAAAAAAAGATACACACGAGGCCTTGATTTATTTTTTACATATTTTTTCTTTTTCGGCTTTTTTAAAAATAAGTATTTAAATATACATATACTTATTTTAACTCTATAGGCCGGCGCATAATATTATTTAATATTTTAAGCATATTCTTAGAATATTATGCGCCTATAGGGAAATTACATTAAATTATGGAAAATGCAAAGAAAATGTAATATAAAACAAAGAGGAAACGAATTTAGACAAGAAGATTTAGTAATTTCGATCTGTGTATTATTTTAATTATTTTTTTAATATACCTTTCTTATATATACATATATATATACATATATAAATCTATTTGTTTTAATTATACTTTTAATCGATTGAAAGTTTTATACATAAAACAGTTAAGATTATTTTCGAAAAACCTATGCAATAGATTTTCATAGGTCTTTCATATAGATTTATTGTACACTATATATGTATATTGAACTGTCTTCAGTAAAAATTTGGTATAGATATGTTCATTTTTCAATGTTGTTAGCGTATTAAACGAGGCACTACAAGAAACTTGGTGAACACATCATAATCTTTATAATGTACTTTATTGAATACATCTTTTATATTGTATTATTACTTTTTTGTGTGTCATACAGAACATGTTGAACGAATGTGGATAAATTAAAACTGTTTTAGTGTGTAAATTAATCGTAATATGTATCTATTAATATATTGGTTTGATATATATCAATATACGTTTTCATACAATTTTCAAAGCAAAAAAGTAATGAAACGCAACTCCTCTCTATAATAATCATCTCTCTCTAGTCATTTCACTTATTCTAATACATATTTGATATAACTATCTTTTTTATATAATATTTACTATATAAAATATTATCACCACAAGATCTAAAATAATATTACGTTAAATCTATATCCGCAGTGTTTTCGTATACATATATAGTCTTAATAATTTATTCACTCATACATGTGCAGTCGTATAATGACATGCACACCATGCACACATTTGCTATAATATATGTATGTATAGAATTTGTAGTCTAAATTAATAAAAGGAATTGTGGAAAAGCTAAAATAATAGACATTTAACCATCTGACTTATTAATCTAAAATATTCATTTAAAAATATAAAAAATGAAAGCCAAGTTGATCACTTCAACTTTTGGATAAGCTGCTGATTTAAATAGACAACTATTAATCCATTAAAATAATGTACCAAAATGATAATTACGAAACAGCAAAATGCTTGAGCTTATAGCAGCAACACATTAAAAAATAATCATTGTAGCATACAATTTTATCATCTTTGAACAAAAAGTTTTTCCTTATATAAATTTCTGTAATAAGAGTGTTTCGTGCGTATGATGTGTATGCATATGTAGATATTTATACATATATTATATGCATCGCGTTAATTTTACTTTATCACATTATAATCTCATTAATCTCGCCTTTCGAATATATATTACATGTTCTATATTTTATCACACTTTAGTTCTATCTTATTGACATGTACTTAAAGTTAATAGTGGCAAATGTCTCAAGTATTTACAAAACGAAAGTGAATACGTATAGATATAATAATCAATAGTAATCGTCACGTAAAAATATATACGTAATGTAGATTTTTTAAATATGTTATTACTTGTTCACGCGAACGATTTGCGTGAAAATTCAATTGATGTAATTCATTGAGTATTACAATTGTCTAAATACAAATATATATTTGTGCAGTTAGTTGTAGAAATTTTCAAAAGCAATAAATTTTAGCAAACTGGCACATTATTATGCGTTAAAACGAATGACGTATGTAATATTCAACGATTATTGACGATATTGATAACATATGTAAAATACAGTATTTTTTAGCGAGGTACATTAGTTCCTTTATGCGACTAATAATGGCGCATATATATCGAAGAGAAATAATACGTATATTAAATTTATGAAAACAAAATATAAGAGAATTGATAAAAATTGCTGTTTTGTTGAAGAATACAAATTGATTTAAATAATTGATTGAAATAAATAATACGTGATGTTTTGCGTTAACAGTTTCGAGGATTTAAGATTTTAATAGCTCATCACAACCTAGGATAATTAATATACGATTTCATCGATATTTTTTGCCGAAGTTTTCTGTATGAGCCATATATGACAATCACATTGAGTATTAAATAAATACTACATATAATAAATGAATGAAATTAAATAAGTGGAACTCGAATGATATTCATGGTCGGATTTTGCGAGTGTTATTCAGACTGCGTATACGAATATATACATGTATTCCTGTCGGCGTTTGTATGTAGGAATTTAATTACCGACCAATCGTCAAGTTTCCAATTTATGCAATTCGAAAGAATTTATGAGCCGTGAATTCTTTCAATTCACGTAGTTCAAATCGTGAACTCTTATTTCATATGAAGTTCCTCAGTCACATTCCATGCTCCGTATCTCTCATTCCAATAATAGATAATATTCGACAGTGCGGAGATTTCGAAAAACAGTGTACGATGATTCCTCTTTCGTATTGATTGCAACAACGATATCAGATAAATTAGAATGCGCGATGAATTAGTAATTATAGCTGATTATTATTACGTCGTCCACAACGCGACCACAACTGGTACCGCTTGTATCTTCAACTTTCCCCGAGATGTTTTCCATGTCTGTGATAATAGACGTGGTTGTTGTCATCTGTCTTTCCGCAGAATCTTGATGGCGATTTATTTTTCGAAAAATCTCATTATCATGAAACGGTGCATCCGCTCTGCGGGAAGTATCTCGTATCATATAGGAGACACACGAGACATCTTTTCAATAGTAATGCACTCTACGTTCGTTCAACGCGTCCCGAAACATCGTTCCTTCATAGGGCAACGGATGGCGAAGACGCAACGCTTGCGATCGCCGATAATTCTTGTCATCGGCGATGAAGGACATCCTCCTCTTTAGCATCGACGGCTCGATCGTGCGTTTTCCATAGAACTTGCTACCGCTCTTAGCTTCGATCTCTTCGATGGACGGCAGACGGGAATATCTGAGCTCATCCGCGTCCTCGTCCTTCGGCAACGGGCGCTTCTGGTCCTCCGGAACCGGTCGGCCGTCCGGATAGACCCGTATCACCATCGGTCCCGAAAGATACGGTCTGCTGGACTCCGATGACTGGATGTAATCTCCGTTCGCCACGGTCTCCTCACCGAGGCCGTTCGTCTCACTACCGCTGTTCGCTGCAAGAAGAAAAAGAAAGAGATGGAATTAAACCAATGCGTCGGCGTGACTTCGAAATTGACGTTGGTTTATAATCGCCAAGGATTAAGTAACAGGTTCATTATACAGGCGCAATAGATACCGGGAAGTACATGCCATGTGTCTTCGAAGCGAAATCCTTGTCCGTACTTCATTAAGATTCACTCGTTAAAGCTGTACGAGCGTACCACAAATTTCATAATCACGATGGCTTTACGCAGAAGTTAAATTACACTATTAAATTCAATAATGTCAAATTATACCCAATCTGAGTTTTTTAAGTCATTTCTATAAGTCGTTACTGCTCCTATTTAATGTCCTATTAATTTAGTTAAAACAAAGGATGTAAACAATTTAACTCAAGAAATTTATTTATTTATTATTAAATTAAATTAAATTTATTATTTATTAAGTGTATACGTTAATATGGACGTTATTTACTTTGAAACCACAGAAATGGATTGATTTACATTGTGACACATAGAAGTTAAAAATACAAATCGAGTACTTTCCATTTGGTGACACAAGTCGTTACAAGTGTCCTTCTATCTTCGTTGCTCACTGAATGTCATCAAATGGGAAGTACCCATTGTTATTTAACTCAAGGAATTGAGTTACCATTGTTTCTCTAATATTTAACAGTATGTGTGCGTAGAGTGTAAGAATCGGATTTATATGTCTGGGATCAATTGCAATATCTTCGACAATTACAGAATCAGATTCTTAATTCATTGTCAAATTCTTGATATTTCGTGAGTAAAACTTGCATATGTATTAAATTAATTATTGTTATAGTAATAGTATAGTAATAAGTTACGATCTTTAACACATTGCATATGATTATATGTATAATATTATTAGTTGTCTCTTGTTACAACTATAATAATAATTATCGATTTTCGGGAACAGACTTTCTTAGATCTTATCTTCGCTATCGGTTTTTAGTTGTGGGCGTTTTTATTTTGGTATGATAGAAAAAGAGCGGTACCGAGTATTCCAATCCATGAAAGGAGAATAAGATAGGTACGTTTGTAATTCTTCGCGGGCGAAGATTATTTTGGATCAACGGCCTCTATTTTATCGTCCCGCACACGTGGTTGTTTCTAGAGGTATGTACGACCTCCGCATTATGATAATTTAAAATCCAATATCTGTACGTCAGTTCGTGTTCTCTTCGCTTCCGACAGCTAGTTGAATGCCGTCAATTTGTAGGCTACAAGGACTTCGCGAGGTAAACGTGCAGGAATTTGCCCTCGCGATGGATGAGTGCCGTGTGTACATATTTGCGTGTGTATCTTCGACCAGCGAAAGAAGAACTGTACAGTTATAAATTTCTCTACCATGAAATGTACAACATAATTGCGATTGATTTCATGAAAAAACTAATGACGTATAACGGTAAGAACATCGTATTTTCTGTTCCTTCCCGTTAAACGGGATCGATGGACAGCGTATAGAAGTCCCTTTTCTATTTCGCTAGATTTCTAACACGATAATTGATCGGTAAACGCCTGAAATCACGGGCGTGCAACGCTTGCAGCTTTCATCGCGTGTCGATGCATCATTAGCGTACGCATGTATATATGGGCCAACAGAGAAAATGTGAAAGCCACCGTAGTGCGCCCCCGCGCTGGGACTTCTCATCGTAGACATTGAAAAAAGTGACCTCCTTTCGCGATCTGTCCACTATCTATCAAAAGCTCGTTACATGCAAGGATTGTCAGACTGTCAATAGATTGTCGAATGATGAATTAATAAAATTCTCCAAAGATATTTCTCAAACGTCTATTTTCCTATATGTGAATTAGATTATGTGATATTTATCAGATATTTAATATTGAAATTAATATTGTTATAAAACAATGTAAAACTGTAATTTTTGTAACTATTATTTAGATCAAAGGGTTGCAATCAATTTAAACTGTTTTAATTAGATTTATTCTTATCGGACCTATTTCTCATCATATTATATTGTTAAATTGTTTTACATTTAAATTTAAATCAAAGAAGCGGGATGCCTTTAAGAGCCTGTTATTCATGTGTGTTAAAATTTATTATATTCAAGTACAAACGTTTTTAATAAAAAAATTTTAACATACGAATGACTATTATAAGTTCTTAAAAGCATCCTTCTTTTTTTATTTATATTTTTTAGAACCATTATTATTGTATTTAAATTTAAGAATTATCTATTTTTTAAATTATTTCTATCGAAAAAAGTTTAAATTTAAAGAACAACAAGCACTCGTGATTTGATCTAGTAACTAGTTGATTTGTAGTTGACGAATGTAATACGACTTCAATAATATCAGAGAATCAGTTTGGATCAGTGCAATGGACCGTATGATTCTTTCCTTTTTTTTAAAAAAGAAGGGAGAAAGTGCGTGATCAGTGACAATCAGCAAGGATTTGCTGTTTATCGGGCGCAATATCGTTAAGGGAGAAAAAAAGACTTTCTAGGAGCGCGAACACGGGATCGAAACCGCGACTAAAACTTTCTCGAGGTACGACGTGTTTCCGTCAGCGAGACCGCGATCGCGGAGAGATCACCGAAACAAGGAAGAAACAAATTTGCGAAATGTTTTTTTCGAATAAGCTAACGCAGAGAGCACTTCCTTTTATCGCATTATCTTATTACAATGGCATGTACACGCAACTAAAGCTTTGCAATTTTGTATAATATAAGCGGTTAAGAAAAAAATATTGCACTAAGTGATGATTTTTATTGAATTTTATTGAAATTTTATGTTTCTTCTAAATTATGAAAATATTTATTTTATCTATATATATATAAATGAAATCATACGATAATAATTCTCTCTCGTATAATTGAAGTTTTGATTATTTCAAATATAGACATTAGATAAAATAATAAATATGTGTAAAGATACGTAACTAATTCTTTTTTTTATTATTTTCAACAAAATGCTAAATAAATTTGTAAAACAAGATTTTTATTTTGATATCCTAACTTATTCTACTCCTCAAACTTCATTGACTTTCTTCTTCTATGAATATCCTTTTTATTTCCCATTTCTATATCATACAATATAATCTATTTCGATCTCCATAGATATCTCTAAAGACTATAGTAGCCAATAATATTTTATATATAGTTTCATGTTTCAACTATTCTTGATTGATTATTGTCGATAATAAAAGAGCGATTATTTCGATAAATTCTGGTACACTTACCTAAATCGGCTACGGTCGTGAAGTAAGACTCCTCGGTTTCGTGGCTGATTCTTGATGCGAATCTGTTGCTTCCCACCATGGCGTGCCAAACTAAAAATAGGACATTACAGTAATTTAAGTACGAGGTCGTTAAAGTGTCAAGGCCGGCATTCTCTCGAAGTTCATTTGTATATTTACTCGATCGAATAAACAGGAAATCTCTTCTCAATAGGCCTGTTCTTTTTGGCTGAAATTTGCATCAGTTAATCTTTCTTCCTTTTCTCTCCAGGAGGAAAGAAGAGGAAGAAAGATGAACTGTTGCAAAAGTTCAGCCAAAAAGAACAGACCAAATATTACAGAACGTTTCCTTACTCATTTCCTTCGCGCCACGTTGATAGGGGTCCAACCTGTCGAGGACGTTGTCGTCCATGCTGGCGAGGCTCCGTATGCCGGTTACGAGCAGGTTCTTATTGCAATCCGGCCTCGAGGAATCAGCGCAAAACCGTGCCACTTGTTTGCTGAATAGTCCGTACAGGTGACTCATCTAAAACGAGAAAGGAGCAGGTCTATTTAGAGCATGAGATGGCATGAGATGGCCATTGATCCCTTACGTTTACGAAGAGCAAATGCGCGACACGTCGATTACTTCGTGAGAGGAATTAAATAAAATAATGAAAGCACGCGGAGCTTCCTCGATATCTTTCCTCGTTTATCTTTGACAGTACGACATTTACGTTCCGTCTTTAACGTCAGAAATCCATAAGGTGAACCATATCGCGCGCACCGCATTCTGACCGCGTCTGGTGAAACTCGGCAATGTGTAACGCCGGCGACGGAACCGACAGTTAAAACCGATAAATATGTATGCACAATACGACGTCCCATACATCACGTATCGGATTGCGCGATACCGTCGTCTTTTCGCCGGTACGAATCGCGCCGGTCGCGAGAAACGGTCGCCGTTCTTGCGCTCGGTGGCGACGCGATAACGAGAACGATGTCCACACAACGGAGTCCTTCTGCGGCTCGGTCCGATGACGCGCACATCCGATCTTAGAATTTCTAATGAAATAAATCTTCTGTAACGACGTTCTCATATCCCGCGGCAGTCTTTTTACGATTCTATCGGTCTATTATTCTCGTGTCACGCGCACATTTCGACACACTTCTTGGCGAGCCCACGTTTCTTGTGGATATATTTTACAAATTAAACGAACCAATCCATCTGCGAGATTACACTTGACATACATTTGTGGCTAAAAAGGAATTTAAAAACGCGCTAAGAAAAAAATGTATTAAATTTTAATACGTATTTGTTTTCAATAGCGCTAACTATAAACATTTATTTACAATAAATAAATATTTACTCAATAAAAAAATAATAATTACTGATTTTTAAAAAAATTAATAAAAATTTTTACTATCAAATCATCTTCATATTTAGTAAATATTTTTTGTTAGTGCTATTTAAATAAATATTTATTAAAATTTAGTATCTATTTTTTTTCAGTATGCTTTTAAAAAGATTTGAAATGTTTATAAAATGTTAGATTTAAAGACATCATAGATTTTGAAAACTTTTTCAATTTTTTAATCATGTGTTAGGTATTCACAGTTGGTTCTTACTTATATTCAAGACCATCTTAAGTACTATTTTAAGATATCATGAATTGACCATAGACTGGTATTTGTAGTCGGTTCTTATATTTAAGATCGTTTCAAATACTGTCTTAAGATATTATGAACCAATCAAAGAACTATATTAGCATCTTAAGACATTAATTAAGACAGTCTCAAAATAAGAATGGACTATGAATACTGGCTACAGAGTCGTATTAGTATCTTAAGGTATTTATACTTATGACAATTTTGATATAAAAATGGCCTACGAATACTGAAAAATTCCTTAAATATTTTCATAGCTAATTATAAATGTGATTATTAAATATTTAAAACAGTAAATTAAAAGTCACAGAGAAAAGAACAAGACAGCATCCTTTATCTCGTCTTTCCTGCAATGCAATTATTGTTGCAATTGCAGATTAATACCTTAGGTATGTGGTCAGTGATAAATTATCGTCCCGTTTCCTGCGATTCCGGAAACTAAGAGAAAGCAGAGATGAGCGGGATTCTAGCTATACGCGAATTAGTGCGGAAAGACAATGACTACATATGTTGTTACGCTAGAGAGATACGCTTTTACATTTGGAAACAGCAATATTTGTATTTCGCGTCCATCAAATAATTAAGCTAATTATAGAAAAGCATACACGTATAATTGAATCACATATCATTTTTAAGAACTGTTTAAAATTTAAATATTTAAAGTCTGAATAATTGAAAAGAAAAAGAGAAAGAATTACTTTGAATAAGTCTTAACAAGTGTTTCTGATATATACATAACTATTTGAAATTTGAAAATGTAATTTAAAATACATGAGAAAAAAATACATATTTTAATTGCAAAACATTTTTTTTAATTACTCAGAATTTACATATTTGCCAATAATTTAAGTTATTTTAATCTTAAATAGATATTTATTGTCACCACAATTGTTTAAAAATATTACGCTAAATTTTTTTTACTTGTGGTGCAACATGCTTTTATTCATCTCTGAAATCGATTTTTAATTCGTACATTGACCCGAGCTCCATCGAGAAACTGATCCTAGATACGCTGCACTGCTCTTGAACTTCAACTCAGCACTTACTCGTGCGATCGCTTTTACTTGCTTCAGGAGTATTACATGCACACATTTAATCCGGTATATACAGCCGCGAAATACCGCGTGCATAGCCTTGGCCAAGAGTACGAAGCACTTTCAATGACTGACGGTAATTCAACCTTAGTCCGCGTTCGCCAATTAAGGTTCTATACACACTGCATTCTATTTTTAACTTTAGAGCACACACACATGCAATTTGTGATAAATATCGTTAAATAAAAATAAATCTAAAGAAATTAAAAATTTACGTATTCTTTATATTAATTTAATTAAAAGATTATCTATATCTTCCAATTCGATAGTCCAATAAACATAGTCCATAAAAATAAATATCAATCATAAATATTAATTCTGATATGCATCGAATTTTAACTAATTTATGGCCTTCTATACATTCATTGCCTTGTAAGATGAGAATCCATGCAATTATCGTGTCATGGTGACGATTAACAGTCAGTGTAATTATCTTCCCGGTAACAGATCGTTATAATCGCGATAATCTTTAGATTTTTACAATTGTCCGTCGTCAGTTAACGCTGCACTAAAGACATTCCATGGGAAACAGGGCTTTGAGATAAAGAATGCGATTCGAGTGTAAAATCGCAAGCATCCGGCTATTGATTGATAACATCGAGCAGTTCGAGATTAAAACAAAACTCCTGATTTCTACAACTCCACAATACTGAACGTGTCATTCGAAACTATTCGCTAAACTATTATCAAAAGATTTATGATAGTAATAAACAAAGTGTTAGATTGCTATAATGATTCGGTATTTGTCAAATAAGGTTAAAACGAATTATATGATTTCAAAATAATTCTCTCTCTCTCTTTCTCTTTCTCTCTTTCCTCTTTTATCAATTAAAATAATATATTTAGTGTAAAATAATATATAGTGATAAGAGGTTTCAAAGAAATAAATAAAAAATGCAAGCCAATAATATAAACCGACATTTGATAATGTTGTGTAAAACTTGTGCATATTATTAACAATAATTGATAATTACAGAGGTTTCGATCACAATTTTGATCATCTTTAACAACGAAACGATAATAGATTTAAATATTGAACATTATATTAAATTTTTATATAAACGAGGCGCTTTTGTAGAACAGGAGAAATGTTGCGAATATAAAACCAAAAATAATCGTTCGTGGATAAATCTTCAACCGTCTATTGTATTTGGCAGAATATATTTTCTGATAGTCGGATATTAAAATGAAAATATTAAACACATAATATCTCAATTTCATTTACAAGCTACTGAAAAAATTTATTTACTATATGATTATTATTATAATGACTTATTCATTATCATTATAATCTCAGGTCATATAAAATCAAATCAAAATGCACTCATATTTGGTAACACTTATTTCGAGGACTTTATTATTAACAAAAAGCGTCAGAACAAATGAGTGTATTTATAACTAGAATCATAAATAATTACAGAATAAAGGAGTCACTGCTTAGCAAGGAACTTGAGATATAATGGAATCAGCAGTTACGTGTCTTTCTTTTAATTAAATTATTTCAATTAAAGTAATCTACTCTTTTTTTAAAAAATTTTCTTTGAGAAAATTAAAAATTATTTTCTTTTTAAAACTCTTAAATCATCAAGTTTATTTAAATATATATCACATCTAATAATAAACCAATATTATAATATTTATTTTTGAAAAATGTTTAAAACAATCAAAACTTAAAAACTTTAAAATAAGATCGCTGTTCATCATTAATTATAAAAATTGTGAACATTGTTATTCAGGAATTCGTTATTTAAAGCATAAGAAAATATTTATAATATAAGGAAAATGAGGATAGAAATAGACCTAAAGAAAATTAAATAAATCATTCCGACATATCGTTTCGTAAAATTTTAGGACACTGAAAATTTAGATTATTTAGAACAACCGAGAGTATATGCTTGTATTAACCCTTGAACACCACACTGGGTTACGGTAATCCAGTCCGTTTGAAAAAACAACGATTTTTGTTTAATTTTGAAATTACTTTCTTCTTTTTTTTTCAAAATATCTTGGTTACCGGAAGTTTTATGATATTCTTATCTATATATTCTTTTTCCTTACTGTTGTTCATCAATTAAAAAAAAAAGTTAAAATTGATGCATTAGATCCCGGGATAAAAGCAAAAGAAGACTCCAGGGTTATCGTAACCCATGTGTGGTAAAATTAGGTGGCGAAAATAGAGTGGTGTTCAAGGGTTAAGATAAACTCAAACAAATCAATCTTGATTATTCTCCGTGTAAGAGCTAAGTAAGCAATAAGTATAAAGTAATAAAATCAGTTATCTTTTTAAATCCTAATCAAATTATTATAAATAATGTTTTCAACGAATTATACGCACGATATTCTAAGATATTCATCGAACTCATGTTAAATTTGTAAATAGATATCCTAGTTTATTGACTCATCACTGAGAAAATCGTGGAAGTACCTATAATACAAATCGCAGCAACACCGAATACGCCCAACACGTGATTCAGATGCAACGCACTTGCATCGGATACACTCGATTGTTCGGTGAAAGTCCACTGAATAGTTGATATCACGAAGAGATATTTGCATCTCTCACGGTTTCATGCGAAACTATAAGTGAAAGAAGTTTAGCGGCTACAATTTTGAAGATAAAAAAACTTGGATGGACGGAAATGAAGTTATGGCGAAAAATAAGTATTTTTGTGCTTATATCTTTCTTTAAATAATTTGTAAAGAAGAGAGACGTTGAAAGAATGTTTTCTTCGTTATACAAATAAGACTGCAATATATTCTGACGGGAACAGCGGTAAGTAATATCTTTCTCTTTTGTGTAAAATTTTATTCCAAAGGAAATAGAATGCGCAAAAGTATTCTTTTACACACTATATAACTATAAGTGTTTTCTTTCTTATATCTTTCACATTTTTACGCATCTCTATGTACTTTTTACATTTTCGCATTTATAGAATCAATCATTGTAAATAATCATTAAATTTGAAATAGTATGTGTTCATTTATTATACGAATATACTTTTACTTATTACCCGAATAATATTAAATTGATGTAAATTATTTTTCATATTTATCAAATAAAGATAGAAACAAATTGCATAATTTCGGAGCAATGTTCATCAGTTAAAATAATCAGTATCGTACAGTCTAATAAAATTTTCTTGCTTGAGAAGTTTTTCGAACTTTTACTTGAAAATCTTACTTAAAATATTTTAAAAAATCAGATATGTAGCTTCATTTAAAGCAATTAAAAAGATCAGATAACTTTAACAAAATCAGTGACTTCACTTAAAGCAATGCTTTAAAATGCTGAATAGCTTCACTCAAAGCAGAATTTAATAAAAAAAAACGATAAATCTTTTACGCCAAACTAGTATCGGCATAATTAGCAGAATCGACAGAGGGATGATCCGTACTCACTTTCTCATCTCTCGAAAGAAATTCCCACATCGGTATCGCTGAGCCGGTGACTCGCAGCATCACGCAGCATCCAAGTAGAATGCAGGTAGCAATCTTCGAGATGGAAATCCCGCTGATCATCATTATGCTCGTTCTCCTTTTCCGTTTTCCGTTCGTTCTCCACGTCGCGACACTCGCTTCACGCCGGCACGTGCAGTCACAGGTGCAATTGTCGCCGTCACGATAAACAATCAATAACAAGCTCAATCTCGTTCTCGTCACAGGATCGTGCTGCGATCGATCGTCTCGTGTATACTGAGTCCCTATCTCGTTTGCCGCTTCGTTTTATGTTGCCTCGCACATCCAGTGGCGACCACGCGTCTCTGAGTGCCCCCACTTTGTCCATCTATCCGGATTTCGTACATACGTCAGTACGAGGAGCGGAGTCCACGGGATCCGGAACGTATTTACGCGCTCTAGGAAATCACGCTGACGCGACGCAAATATGCGGGAGTTCGAAAAAAAAAAGAAGAAGGCATTCCTTAATTTCATTCGACGCGCCACACCGAAATTCCTGCGCAAGACAAGCACACTAAATTGAAGAAAGCTTGAGATTCTCTTTCACGACGTAGGCTGATGGGATAAGATGAAGATTTATTGGTGCCGTAAATTGTCTATTAGATACGCTGCTTTGCACGATTTAACGATCCGTAGATACATCTTTTTTCTAGCAATGCCAGAAAAAATTTCGACGGAATATCTTTTATTGATGTTTCCGCGGGGTTTTTATATGCTCAGAGATTAGGATAACGTCGAAAGACGTTTGTAAAGAACTGAGTACAGTGCACGCAGTACTATTTAAAAGTTTATAAGCGTTTGTCGAGTCGGAGATTTCAAATGACATCCTGACTGGTATTTCAATTGAAGAGTTCAAAGTCCTTTTAAAAGTGAGAAAAAAATATATGGCGCGAGGAGAAAGAAATATGTATTTAAAAAAAAATAACGTTAATTTAGACGAAAATATATTGTACTGATATTTAAATAAATTTTGTGGGGCTTAATCGATTGCGGGGCGAAATCGCGTAGGTATATAATTATATTATTTTACATAGCAATATTTACACTCTAGGAAATCCCTGACACGATCAAGGATGTAAAAGAACGCAAAAAAGCACTCCTTAATTTTATTCGGCGCCACGCCGAAATTCCTCCGCGTGATCCACCGTAAAGTTGAAGAAAGTTTACGGTTCCCGCGGTGGAGTAAAATGAATGAGATCCAAGGTGAGGATTCGTTAATGTCATAATTATGCTTATTAAGTATACATCATCTTTATATATTATTTTATGTCAGTATTTATGCGATCTACGAACTCACGACGCGACACAGGTATGCAGAAAGTGCAAAAAAAGCACCTCGTAATTTTATTCGGCGCCGCGTCGACATTCCTGCGTGAGCGACGCCGGGCCGAAGTAATCGCTTTTCGTAGCGGAAAAATATCCCTCCTATCCCAAGATTTTAATTAATTAATTGAGAGATATTACGGCGCAAATCTCTACAGAACAAATTGCATGTAATTAGAAAAGAGTAAGTGACTCAGATGTGTTACAAAAATTTATCAAAACTTATCAATTCGCGATTATCGCAGATGACTTTTGAAAGCATTGAAGACTACTTTAGGATGAAGCTTATATCGCGATTGATCGCGTTAAGTAATTTGTTTTATATCCATTTCTACTAATGTAGAGTATTTAATCTCTTATTTTATCTTAATCTTGATTTAACTAGCTTTTTATCTTCTTTTAGTTTTAAAAAAGAGTAAATTAAACCGAGAATTAAAATTAATCTACATTGATAGATATGGACCTTAGAGTCTTAAAGTACAGAAGCGGTTGCTTCGAGAAGACGCACTTGAACAGGGGCTCGATCCTGTTTGTCCAGTTCTTCTATCTCAGCATTCTTAGATCATATTCCTTGGGATGTAATCGAGGCTCTAAGGGCAATTCTTTTTCCTTTGAGTCTGCGCGATTGTCTGAGGCGAAGTTCTAAAAGCTGTTTTTATAATGATTTTACAACTTTCGAACTCTTTTACGTCATCGCACACATGATGCAGGAATTTTCAGTAAACCTAATAAAACGTATCGCACGTATTTTGTTAATGACCCGCAGTGTCTTACATACTTTAGAAAGACAAACCGAGGCCAAAGCTTCATTGTTTCTATTTAACCCTTAGTTACCACGCTATTCGCTGTCCGTGAATTTAAGTAAAACGTGTGCTAGAATAGAAAGAAGAAATTATCAATAACGAAATTAATATAAATCACTAAGCAGAATTAAACTATTCTAAGAATAAGTCTAATACATTTTGCGAGTTCATAAAGTCTAAACGTAAACAAGAAAAATTTACGACAGCAATAAACAAGTAGATCCCGTTTAATAAACAAGTAGATTCTTAATCGAGATACTAGTCCATGTATGGAATATCCACATTCCACGAGTTTTGTGAGAAGTTAATTTTTCTTCAATGAAAGTCTTGTGAGGAATCATCGTTTTATGAAAGATTTTAGTTTTAAATAAAATTTAAAATAAAACTTTTGTCAATTAAAATCCAATTCATTTCAAAATTAAATTCAAAGTTAAATTAATTAAAAAATTTTAGCTTTTTAATTAATTTAAAAACTTGAAATTTTTCCAATCATTATCCTGTATCCACAAATTAATTTTTATTCCATCTTCAAAGCTAGACATTTGAATAATAAGTTACATTTACTAAGAATAGATAATTTTTTTAAATTAATGAACAAAATTTAGTAACAAATTTGCTTTACAATACATTTATTCAGAAAAAAATATCTATTTTACGAAAAAAGACATTGTTATTTCATCGAATGAATGATTATGCTAGCAACGTATAGTCACTTTCGTATCATACATTCAAATAAAGAAAGTATTCTTGTAGAAAGTATAATTTTACTGAGAAAATATTTCTTTTTTTATATACATACATATACTCGTGATATTTTGAGCAGCAGATAAGAGCAAGTGAATGACACGAATATTGCGGTGACTGATCGCGAACGAGCTTCACATCAAGCATAATCAAATAAATGCGTGAGCAGAGTGTCAATTAAAAGCGACACCGATTGTGTTGTCTGCGTGCGATCGTATCGACGTGGGTCTGTCAGGAAGGCTTGCGGCCAGATAAAACGTAATTCGTAACAGCAGCTCATGGTATACATAACGCCTGTCGCGTTATTTATTCAACGTGCGCCTATGGCATACGAGAATAAAATTTGTACATCATTTCCCAATTTCACTTTCACATTCGTCTCTTTTCGTGCGAATGATCAGTAAGCACACGTAGACGTCGTCCAGATAACTTATGCCAAGTGTTTCGAACGATCGATCGCGTCAGGATGTTTCATATCTGATTGCATATTGTGAGTAAAAAGTAATTTTCATCGCGCAGTTAAAAGCAATTTTGATTTATTTCAATACTGCAATTTTTTTTGAAAATAGGAAGTTGTTTGGGAAACCGCAAGGCTTTCCTCTTAGCTTCAGAGGAATCAAATAAATAAACAAGCGCCAAATATGCTTCAGGCTGGATCTTGGTACTTAATGATATTTCTATATAATTTTTTAAATACATTTTTCAGTTATATAAACAGCACACCAATTACTATTGGATTTAAAACATAATTGCAAATTAAAGCTGAATAGTAATATCACAAATTAAATTGATCGTCGATTTAATGATGTTATAATAAGCATCTTAAAACAGTCAAGAGAACTTCAATTCAATCCATAGTTGAAGTGAAATTTTTCGCAATAATTTTTTTATAAAGGCGCTTATTAGCATCATTATTAAATTGACGATTAATTTAATTTATGATATTTCAACTTCAATTTGCGATTGCGATTTAAATCCAAAAGTAATCAGCGCATATTTATATGAAAAATAAAAAAATTTATGAAAATTAGAAATATTATTATAGACACTAAGATTTAGCCATGACTGTATTTAGCGCTTCTTTATTTGATTTATTCATGTTGCGGTTTAATCTAACTTATTATTATTCATTAAAAAGAAATTATTTTCGAAAATTAAATGTGTATCTTCAAAATAGGAAAATTGATTTTAGAATCTTTTATCGCGTTATTACAAATATGTGATCCGTTATAATCGGACGGAACATCGTTTTCCTCTCCTGAAACCTCGCGTTGCGTACGTGACTTTTACATTCACGGAATGTGCTAGCAGCTCGGGAAAATTCACGCGTAGGAAATCGAACAATGGCATTTACGATGCTTTTCCGTGGCGATGACCAACGTGAGAATGCCAGAATGCAAACATCGCCACTCGAGCGTGTTCACGTGCGTATTCTGCGTGCAACCTCACGTTCATGCGCCGGGATAACACACTTCACATTATACGTGCAGTTATGCGGTGCGAATATGCATCTGCTTTTACCGCAACGAGTGCCGTTCCCAGTAATCTTTCAGATTAGTAATCTCATCGACCCGCCCGTTTAATAATAGGATTTGCGCTTGAAACTGCGAATATAGCGAGGACTAAACTCAATGATTACTTCGATAATTTTGCATAATTTGGCTGAAGAAGCAATGCAAATTTTTGTTTAATTATCGTCGCAATTATATCTTTCTTAATTGTGATAAATGATTATTGATAAAGTTTCTTTTATTAAAAAATATATATATATCTATACATGCAGTTATTCTCGTTGTATTTCAAAAAGTAATACGTGTTCTGTAGGATATAATTCACTCTCCCTCTCTCTCTAAACAATAAATAACTTTTATTTAAAAGATATTATTTTATTAGCAGAATTTTTGTCTAACTAAAACGTTTTGAACCAAATTTAACATTCACCAAAAAAAAAGCGAATAATGATTGGATATAAAACCATTAAAAGAGAAATATGCATAATTTTTATAATTTAATTAACATTTATGTTATAATTATAGTCTTTAATGACTTTATAAAAATTTAACAAGTGCAATAAAATTTTTGTTTTTAATTGTATACGTTTTAACATATTTGAAGGCTATTCTTAATGGCTGAAAGATAAGTTCAATAGTTAAAAGATAAACAGATTATAATAAAATAATAAAATGTAAAATATTATAATAGATAAGAAAAAAAATAGAATTATATGTGGAAAAGAATTTGATGAAAAATATGCTGTAGAATAGGTCTGCGATATCAAACTAGCAAAACAACAAATATTTGCATCTGACAGAAATATTCAAGGTGGTCAAGTCTCACCCTGCAGAACAATAGTGAGCTATGTCGCACTTATGACTTCT